TTAAACAGATGAGAATTAGATCTTATTTTTGCTATAAAGTTTTACAGCCCTAATTAGATCTTATTTTTGCTATGAAGTTCTACAGCCCTAATGAAACCTTCTATATAGCTTTTTTATTTCATTATGATTAGTTTTCGTATTTTTAAAAACATACTCTAAACTGTATAAATAATGTAAAATTAAATTGAATTTTATTAGCCAATTGGACAATCTTCTGCCTAACTTTAACTGCAGTAAACAAAGACTTTAATACTTGACTCAAATATTTCTATGTCCTAATTTAAGTCTACCACTCTAATGCATCTGACTTTAGTAAATTAATTCCTTAAACATGTAAGTTTTATTTCTACAATGTAAAATTTATCCTTATAATAACTAGAATCAGTTCTGACTTTAAATCTAAAACACACTTCATACCCTATATTTTAAGTCATTGAATCCCATATTCAAGTATCTTAAAAAAATAAATATCAAATAAAACAATATACTATATATTTATATTTTATACGTATGTTTATATCTTACTTAAAATTTTTTAAATATACCTAAATCATTATTTCTTTTAAGAAATAATACATAACAGCCTCAACCAGGCGGCGAAGCCGCCCACATCTGCATCCTCTAGTTACAGATTACATCTATTCTCATAAATTTTTGGACATTTCATGAAAAATTAACCGAATGATTGTTTGGCTGATTTGATAAGTTTGTGATTCGGCAGTAATAAAATTTTTGATTTGAGTAATTAGTATGTAAGATGATATATATATTTTTAAATTCATAGCGATAATACTGTCTGAACGGTACAACAATGCCAACACATATTTTCGCTTAAATGCATGTCCAGTATGTTTAGTGTATTTAGTCTGTACGAGAATTTATGATAAAGATTGAGCATGCCAACCAATAGATCTTAATAAAAAAATATAAAAAAAGGTTCTGAATATAGGATTAGCTTTCATAATAAATATATTACGCAAGTAGGCACTAATAAAAAAAAAGTTCGATATGATTAAGAATTTATTGACTGGATTAAAGAAAATATAACCCAAGTTGTAATTTCAAACGACCAAGGTTTTATTAATATTTGTCAAAGCTGTGTTGAGAATTATAACCAATGAAATAAAAGTAAAAGTTTATATATTGTATTATTTAATATAAAAGTTTGAATATACGCATAATAATTATTGCATAATCACTCATTACCGAAACCACAAATTTATCGAATCGGCCAAACAATCATTTGGTCAATTTTTCATCAGATGTCCAAAAATTTATGAGAATAGCTGTAATTATACAATCATCCTATAGTCATATATATATTACTGTAGTGGGTCAATAAAAATAGGTTAAGTAGATCAAAACAATATTTTTGCTACTGTGAATAATGCGAATACTTGAATATTTGATTACCTTAGCATATTGATTAATGATTGATGCCCGATTTTACATATATACGATGTAATTGTTTAGTCAACAATTATATTGTATATATGTAAAATCAGGCATCAATTATTAATCAATGCGCTAAGGTAATCGAATATTCAAGTATTCGCATTATTCACATTATTCATAATTTCAAAAACCGCAATAATCTACTTACAACATTTAATATAATATTGGCGGTTTTTATTACATATAGGTAAAAATGTCATCTTTATAAAAATTGTATTATTAGTCACTTATAGATATAAATAAATTAGACATTGATTAGATTTTTTTTTTTTAAAAAAAATAAATACATTAAAAAATTTTTTTTACAAAATTATTTCCCACGAAGCACCAACAGAAGTTCTAGCAGATATTAATTTGTACGAATGAGATCTTTGCTTTATATGCAAAGATGATATTGACCCAACACTTAAGGAGTCAATAACAATTTTAAATTGTAAACACTTTTTCTACAAATCGTGCATAAAATATTGCGCCGATAATCAATGTCCACTATGCCAAGAAGAGTGTATTGAGTCAACTAAGCTTGGAAATTATTATAGTCAAGAAAGCACTGAAGGAATTTCTACACAGTTGGATAAAGATCTTACAATTGATTCTGAACGCGATGATAATTCAGAAGAAATAAACATTCAAATCTCTCGACAAGCCAGCTCCATTGAATCGTTATTAAACTCTGAATCTGATACTTTGTCCATTTCCACTACATTCATACAGTGGAAATAACATAATTATGTTATTTCCACTTAGTCCAGGTTATGTCTGACGACGGGATCATATGTCTGTCGTCATTCGAGTGACGACTGATTCGCGCTTGCGTCGTCAGAGATATG